TCAGAAACAAGAAGGCTGCTGTTTATTAGGTTAAGGAGCAGGGGTAGACTGACATTGGAGTGAGTGTAGCTTCATATCTACAGCTCCTCAGAAGCCATCCACCTTGTGTTTTGAACAGTCTCTCTCTCTCTCTCCTTCTCACTGGGACTGGGAGCTTGCCAATTAACCTAAGATGGCTGGTCAAGGGATCGGTAGGGATCTGCCTATGTTCCCCCTCCCCAGGGTTTAGAGTACAAGCATGCACCATAATGGCTATGCCTGGTTTACAAAGTATCTGCTTTAGATTTATTTACTTATTTATTTACTGTTTGTATGTGTGAGCCTGCTTAAGTAGATATGCATCATGTATGTGCAGGGCCCATACAAGTCAGCAGAAAGCATTGGATTTCCTGGAACTGGAGTTACAGGTGGTTTTGAGCTTCCATGTGTGTGCTGGGAATAGAACTCAGGTCCTCTGTACAAGTCATGTCTTCCTCCCTCAAAGTGTCTATTTTAAACATACTCAACAAATTAGAATTTTGTTTAAGAATCTGTCTGCAATGTTTGAAATGTTCAAAATGGGCTCATCAACACTAAATTTCTAAAAATTTTTATAGGCTTGGAAGAGAAATCCAAATTAAGAAAGTTGAGTGAAGTTCACTGAAAGAATTCAAAGACTGATTGTGTTACTTCAAATATGATTTCGAAAGACACTTTTGTAATAAAACAAGTGAGGACTCCAAGACTGTTGCTTGGGCCATACTGAAAGAGCCCCTCTTTCCATTAGCTACATTTGCTTATTAAAGAACCAAGAGAAACCCAGATGGAAATGAACCAAAAACAAAGGAGCTTAAGCTGAACACTGACATCAGCAGAAATTATTCTGACACAAGGAGCCACTGCAGTCCTCCTCCAACAGCGTCCCATAGAAACTGTAGTTCTTCAAGAAGACAAGAGAATTCTGAATAGAAAGAATGAGCAGACTCTGGCATTAGTTGATAATCTAATTAATGAGGAGGAGTGACTCATACGGACACCTAGGAAAAAATATTTCAATTCTGTCTGACTTGAGACAAAATACTGACACTGGCAATGATAATGTAAAACTTACAACCCATTAAAAACCGGTACATGTCTTCAGTTCAAGATAATTTAAGGTTAGTTAAGTAAAGTTGAAATTCTTATAGCATTACAACTATATAAAACTGAAATTTGATGCTTTTTCTCAAACTTGACAACCCCCAAAAAGTGTATCTCATGCTTACCAATAAGAAAATCATTATTCTCAATTATTCTAACAGTGAAAAACAGCTGCCTGCCAACTGGCCGTGCTGAAGAATAGATTGGATCTTTTTGTTACTTGATTACTTTCATAGACATGTTACTTTAAACCATTATGCAAAGAGATGCTCAGAGATATGTATTTTAAACATGAAAGCAAGTACTGCAGAAGTGTCAGGCTATTCCCTTACAAGAATTGTTATTTAAATTTTTGTTTCATAACATTTATGAATATTAAAGAATTTTAAATTGTTGTGATTTATTTCCACATTTTAAGTATTCACTTTTACACCATTATTTTAGTTCTTTCTTTTAAATAGTCACTCTAAATTGTATACGCTCTAGGCCCATCTTTTATTACCAGTGTTTGATCTGAAAGGCATTGAGATCGCTATATGGGTGTGTATGTATATATAGTCCTGCAAGGTATGGGCTTTATGTCTGCCCATTGGGTTAAGGACAAGTGTTTGCAGCATTTCCGGGACCCCTTCTTTGAGTCCAGCCAGCTGGCAGAATACTTTCAACTATGTCCTTAGCAGCCTGAGGCAAGAGATTTTCCTCAATAAACAATGTTTCAAAGTGCAATCCACCATTTTCTCCTAGAATATTGCTTCCTGTGCAGACTGAATGGGAATAAGCAAATGTCTTCCTTGCACAGCAGAGAAAGAGCATCACAAATTCATGAGTCTGGGTGGTCCCCAAGGTAGTTCTTTGGAGACATTCGTGGACTTTTGTGAGAAACCCAAATATGAATGGGAGAAGCATGGCTGGTTGGCACAGGTGTGTGATTCCAGTTCCTCAGGAGGCCGAGGCAGGATGGTAGCAAGCTCGAGGTTTTCTGGGTTACCTGTGGAGTTCAAGGGCAGCCTGGGTGACTCAGTGAGACTATCTCAAAATAAAAGTAGGAACATGGCTCGGGGTATAGCTTAGTGGTGGAACATTTGCTTGGCAAGTGCAGAGCCCTGGGTTCAACCCAGTTCCAAAAGGAAAGGAAAGAAACATAGAGTGGATGCCAGGAAGTCTGAGAATGAGAGGGAGCTAACCCTTGGGCCCAGTGATCGGACGCTTTGGAGAAGGGCCTAGCACTTTCCACTCCATAAGCTCTGTGGTTTCTAGGATGACTTAGTCCTATCATCATCAAAAAAAAAAAAAAAAAAGAAAAAAAGAAAAAAGAAAAAAACCCTGCGCAGGAAAGTGACCTCAGAAAGACCCTAGTAATTACTAAGCACACACGTTAGGGAGCCAAGCAACAGGGAGGGCTGGAAACGTTATAAAGTACAGTAAGAAATTCTCAGAACTATTAATTAAAAAAAAAGAATTAAGCAACTAGTTGAGAAGACAGGAAATATACCAAAGAATATAATTCTCAGGTGAGCCTGGTGAAATTGCCTTTTTATTACAGGTCCATAATGGTTACTTCACATGATTGAGAGTGTCATGAATGAATTGCCAATAGTACTGTATGGCTCAACACAAACAGCTACAGGGCTATTATTTTTCTTTCTGGCTGGCCAGTTCTTCACCCATTGTGGTATTATGAATATGTTACATACTGGAATGGTACATGCAAGAGGTATCTCTCAGTCACCATGATAACCAGTGGAGTCAACTGTGTTATGCATTTCCACACACGGCAGGTAGAATCAGAGTGCGATGTTAAGCAAAGGCCCCCTCACTCACAAATCCCTCAAATTGTTACAGAAATCAGTTCAGGCTTGGATCACTAAAAAGTATGCCCAGACGACGATGAAGACCTTGAATTAGACTTCCAAAGGAGAGAGTGGGCTGCGTCAGGGGCAGAGGGTATGCATATTCGGTATTTGCCCTCCACTAGCAGAAGTGGACAGGCTAACATGAAAATGTTGGGTTTGGGCAAAGAGGAGAATAAAAGTAAAATGGAGCAAGACACACGTTTTAGGAAGAAGGGTGGGAAGGGAAGGTGGTCCATGAGGTAAAAAGTAAAAGAAGAGGAAATTTCGAAAAGCAGATTGACAGTCAGCCCTCAAGAAGTGCTTAAGTGGGTGTGGATCCCATGCTGAGGGAAATGACCATTTCTGGAAGACCCAGGGCAGAGTGCTTCTGAAGGGTGCACAGAGAGAGGTTGGGTCGGCTCTTGTGTGCCGCCAGAGCAATCGCAGAATTCTACAACTTTCCAAAGGGGTAGACGACCAACCTCACTCTACGGAAAGAATCAAAACTGTCACAGGGAGAGTAATCTGCTTGTGAACACATGACATTTGTGTTTTCATCTGTGTGTCTTAAAAACGAGAGGTTCTGAGAACAAGCCTGCCCAAGTCCAGGGAGCAGGGTCGCATCGCTGTTGAGAAGCAGCCTTAGGTCTATAGGCCAGCACACCCTCCCTCATACCAGAGGTCCCGGGCTGCTCCTCACACAGCAGTGTTTGAGAAGCAGCCTTAGGTCTATAGGCCAGCACACCCTCCCTCATACCACAGGTCCCTGGCTGTTCCTCACACAGCAGTGTTTCCTGCGTGTCCAGGTCACACCCTCCCAGGGCTGTGACAGAGAAGCCCATGTTTCCCTGCTGTAGAAGTTCAACACCGCCGTAATATTCTGGACCATTGAAGACACAATGGGTGGGGATAACAAGGATGTTATCTACAAGGATATTAATATTGAAAAATAAATAATACTACAAGTGGTCACAAGGACTCCTGAAACATTCAGCAACTTAAGAGGGAGAGGAATGGATGCTATTTTCCTTTTTGGAGAAACTGCATTCGTCAGTCCTGTAAAACAATTATGTATGGGGAACATTTGCCTATCATTTTCTCTCAAGATCTTTTAAAAATGCCATATGCTTCAAAAAAGAACCCCAAAGTCCTCAAGTCTTCCCTAGCAGCCAGAAAAACCACACACACACACACACACACACACACACACACACACACACACACACACACACACACACACACCACTCTATACTGTACAATTCAGCCTTTAATCACATTTACCTGGTTCCCTATTGTTTTATCTTCCTGCATTGAAGACAGACCTTAAGCTCCCTGAAGGCAAGAATTCAGCCTTCAAGTTGTGCCCAGAGCCCAGAACGCAGGTACCTAGCAAAGGCTGCTGAGTGGAACCACCGGGGAGGGGGGCTTTCAGTGTCAGTCTGCGGCGAGGCCTTGGAGCTGTTTGGCGCAGCTCTGCCTGACGGTCCACGGGGGCCACTGTCTCGTCCCCTCACCCCTAAACCGCCGTACATCGCTGCCATTCCTCGCTGCGGCCAGAAGGAGGCGCCACGGACTCGGGTTAAGCTTTTCCCACCCCCTTGCTACCCCACTTCCCCCAGCTCATGACGTGAGAAGCAGCCTCAGCCAAGAGTCTTAGCAGTAGGAGTGAGGGGGTGATGGAGGGGGTTTGGGGGTGGGGAGGGGTGGGGGGTGGAGAGCAAGAGGACGCGCGTGTGCACACACACCCTGCCTCTTAGATTTCTCCTCCTGAGCCTGAGTGTGAGAGGTAGGGTGTATGTGTGTGTGTGTGTGTGTGTGTGTGTGTGTGTGTGTGTGTGTGTGCGCGCGCGAGCGCGCGCCTGTGTGGCACGTTCCTGGGTGTGAGACCCAAATCAAGACCAAGACCTTTGATGTCCCCGCCCTCCTAGCGTCGCCGGTGATTAATACCCATTTTTCTTACTCTCCCCCTCCTCCCCTGCTTTTCCTCTCCTGCTGCCGAACGCTTGACTTGCCCCCGCCCGCTTCCCCTCCCCCGGCTCCCATCATCACCAACTGGAATCTGGGCTCTCCTGCCTCTCCACCCCCCCTTTTTTTTTTTGAGAAAGGAAGGTCCTCCCCCACCCCCTTTCCAGCACCACTTCCTTGGGCTTCTTCACCTCTAGGAAATCTCGGGGCTTGGCTCTATGGAGAAGCGCTCCTCCTCGGGTCAGGCTGCCTCTCCGAACCCGGCATCCAGCGGTGCTGGCGTCCAAATGCATTTCCTTCTGCTCTGCAAAGAGTCGTAGTGAACTTCCCAACCCTGGAGACTGATCCATCCATCCTGCCTTGCAGGAAAGGGAACCCCTCAGACCCTCGACACCCGCCACCCCTCTCCGGACACTGCCATCGCGGAGGCGCTCAGAGCCGGTACGTAAATGCTCGCTTTGGAGTCTGAATTTTGGGGGTTTGGGGAAATCAGGCAGATAAAGGGTCGAAACCTTGGCACCATTAACCAACCTGGTGTTGGGTACAGCTTTCCGATCCAGTAGCACCGGGCACTTGGTATTTTGGATAGGGCTTTTTTTTTTTTAAACAAAAGGATATTTTTGGGGAGGGGGGTAGGGCTGCCTTTGATCTTTCTGAGGGGGTTAATCCCTTCTAGCGGGGAGGCTGGGCAGCAGTGCTCGCGGCAGGAGCCACGCGCTGCGACCCTCCAGTCCAATCCACTGGCTGCAGGTGCAGCCCGGTGCGCTGCACATCAGCGCGGCGGCGGCGTGAGTGTGCGCGGGGGTGAGTGTGAGTGCGCGCGGGGGCGCGTGCGCGTCGGGGGCGTGTGTGCGCGCGTGTCAGTGTGCCCCTTCCAAGAAATGCCCAGTGTGCGGCCGGTGCACAATCAGAGCCCATTGAGCACGAGCCCGGGGTGGGAGGAGGCTCTGCTGCCGGAGGAGAGGAGGAGAGCAGCGAGTCAGACATGTCAGCAGCACTGCAGATGGGGCTGGGGGCCGCACTCGCTGGCGAGTTAAGTGGGGATGGTGTGCGTGTGCGCGCGCGCGCGTGTGAGTGTGAACTGCTGTGTGGATCCTCCTCTCCCTGCCTTCCTCCTTGCTTCCCATTTCCCCCTTTCCCTCTCTTCCATTCAGGTTGGCTTTTCCCACCTCTCATCCATGCCTGTCCCAGGAATGGTATAGGCAGACCTTTTCTGAATTATTTATAGATTGGTGCCAGCTGTTTTCAATTCCTCTCGCGTGCGCTCTGTGGGAAATGCAGGGTTTCCTCCCCCTTTTTCTTATAACGACTTGATATATACATATATATTTTTCCGGCATGCATTTTGCTCACCCTCCGGGGGACACTCGAATCAAACCCTGACCTCCTCTTTTTTCCCCTTAGGAAGGGGACGCTTTGGGAATGACCATGCTCCACGGAGGGACGGAGCCGGCCCCCAGCCTCTCCACACAGAGACTCCTCTGCTAAAGCTCCAAAAATAAAACAAAAAACAAAAAACCGTAATTGCCAGAAGACTCCTTAAATGTATATATTCGGGCCACTAACCTCACATGCACATGGAATAATGACTCTGGATTCTGCATTGTGAGCTGCTTTCCACACCCTGAGATTCCCTTTTGCATTAATTTTTTTCTTTGAATTTGCCATCTCTTCAAGACACAAGATTCAAACCAAATTTACGCTACATTGGATTTTAAATCTCTTCCGTTCCTTTATTCTCCGTCTTTCTTATGTGGATATGCAAGCCAGAAGAGGACCCTGGATATTCCCAACATGCTCTCTCCCTTAATCTGTCCGCCTAGAGGTTTGGCTTCCACAAACCAAGGTAGGGCGCATTCTATTTTATTCTTTTTTTTCCTCACCTGGGGTAGGGATTCCTCATTTTTATCTGTCTTTTCCAGTCCCCCAGACGGTGGTTTTTTTTTTTTTTTTTTGGAAGAAAAAATAGCATGATATCAAAATAATGCTGTTTGGGGGGAAAAGGTTTCTGTGACAAAGAAGGGAATCTCTGGGTTGTTTCTTTGCCCTGTCATCAAACAGGTTTTTTGTTTTTGTTTTTGTTTTTTTCCGGGAAGGTGGTGGGGGTGGGTATATGCAGGCACACAAGATGTTGGAGGGCGTAAGGGGTGTATGTCTATACGCAGACACAGCCAGTCAGGACCTGTATGCCTCCCTCACTTAAACAGCATCCTATTCATCTAGAGCTAGTGTTAGATCTTGATGGGCATCTAGAGATTTTTCTCCAAGCTGAGTTTTTTTTCCCGTGCCATCTCCATTTCTCTCTCCTTGTCTCCTGTCTTTTCCTTTCCATGTGCTGTAAAAATAAATGAATAAATAAATAAACAAATAATAAGTAAATAAAAATAGTGGTTGGGGTTACTGTGGCTAGTGCCCTGGAACCTACTTGGTGTCTAAAGAGAGGGTTGACACTGGGCCCACGGATCCCAGGAGGCCTATTGCAGAGGGGCAGGTGTAGAGGGGGACTGGCTGGTCTTAGAACACCTGGATTCTGCAGGTTGAAGACTTCAACCTTAAGCTTGAAAAGAAGGGATTCTGTCAATATTCTGCTTTTCATTGTATCTTTTCCCCGTGAGCTATTATTTTTGAGCTGCAAATTTCTCCTTCTGTCCACACATCTATTTATACCCACACATCCTCCAAGCAAACTGTTACTTCCACACTCTGGCAAAATGGCTATCTTGCAGAGTTCTAAAGCGCCGTGCATGTGGAAGGGGTGCAGAATCCGACACGTGAGTCTTTGTGTTAAACAAAGAGATGTGCTGCTTGCATGTGTTCATCCTGTACCCTAAAAAAAGAACTGATATTTTAATTTTTATCCTCTCATCCATTTTAGCAATATTTGAGATTGTTATATATGTGAAATATATATAGCATATATAATGCCTAAAAATATAACAATATGTGAACTATGCCCAATCTGTTGGGCAGCATTTGAAAAGAGAAATAGGAAGAGAAATGGAAACGACTTAGCTAACAGCCCTTCTGCTGGCCACTCAGGCAAGTCAAGACAACTCTTGAGAAAATCAGATCATTCCTGGCTTGAGGGCCAAGATGGGGGTCTGGCTGCTCAGTGCCTTTCTACACTGACCACATACCCTCCAAACTCTGAAGATATTCTCAGGCAGGAATGAGTTTGGGAAAAGGTCTTCAAAAACATGGAGCTGAACCATGAGCATTCAATAGTCCTTCTCCAAATACCACCCCCCTCAAAGTCACTTAGAAAATAATCATCCTTTAAAACAATCTAAAAATACTAAAGAGTTGTAGGGGAGGTAATGGAAGGTCCTTGCCAGTCACTCCAAATGACAGTCGGCGATAGTTCTTTATTGTCCAGAAAGGATGGATAAGGATGCCATCCAAATTTACTGTTCCTCTCCCCTAGGCCTCATTCTATGAGCTTTCACTGCTGACATACCAGTCTGTAACCATGGTATAATGAGAGTGAGAGGGTGGGATCCCAATTTGAATCCTGTTCTCACCATGTCTACAAATAGCTGAGGTTATCTGGTGTGTGCTCACCTTAGAGACACCTGAGCTGGTTCCCTATCTCTATCTCATCCTTCAGTTGGGAGGATGAACTCTTAATTTTACTTCAAGATAGAACAGAGGGGTGGATGAGGATGTCAGCTCAGTGTGCGGAGAGTTCATATGCGCTGATGGACAAAGAGAGGTGGGCATCTGTAGGGCCCATGGCTTCTTTTGCATCCTGGTTGCCTGTGACAGTGCTCTGCAACTGAGTGGGACTTGGGGATGTTCCTTGGTGATAAGATCAATAGGGGGCTTTGGGCAGGGTCTCAGTCAATTCATTCATCATGCATGCTAATAAGATTAAGTCAAGTTCTAAGCTGTCATTAGTTGGCCCAGGGACCAGGCAAAGGAGAAGAGGTTAAAAGAGCAGAATATTGAGGAAGAGAAGGCAAAGAGGGGTTGAGAAAGTTAGAAATAAATGAGAAGTGATGCAGTGGAAAAGACTTGTTAGGGGTCAAGGAAGCCCTGCCACAGGTGGCCTGAGGCTATGTGGAACGCAAAGCCATTTTGGGGACTCTGGTGAGGAAGCTGTGTGTCCCATCATTGTGGGCAGTGCCCATGATGCTGTGACTCAGTGGCATACTGGGTCTTCCTGGAGCCATTGTTCTGGCCCTCTCTTCCCTGCCCATCATGAAGAGCTGAATGGGTTTTCCTTTGTTCTGGCCTTTTGCCATCACCCCTGTGGCGTGGGTGCCGCGGGAAGTTAGTGGGACCACTGGTGGGAGGAAGGACAAAGTGTATTGCAATCAAAGAGCCTGTGATTGGTAACTAAGGAAAAACTAATAGGAAATAATGAGTTCTCAGGGATGCATGGTTAAGGACGCGGCTCTAACGGGAGGAACCACGTGTGGTTCTGTCCCTGTGTTTCAGGTATGATGGTGTATGATGCGCCAGGGAAAGGGATGGTGTGGCAGATGCCGGTGTGCAGGGAAAGAAGCAGGGCATGCCACTGAATTGTCTAATGTATCTCTCCTGTTGGTTCCAGCTCTAAGAAGCCTGCCCATTTGCAGATTCTTGCTTTGCTACTGGTTGTGTGTGATCTTTGTCAGGGGTGGATGTAGGCAGGGAGAATAAGTAAGGAGAGAAAATGACAGGGGAGGAGGGGGGAGAGAGAGAATTCCTTTAGTCACTACTTTGCATACCAGGTACTGTTTTTTTTTAAAAAAGACAGGTTCAGAAGAGCGACTTCTTCTGGAGGGAGGGTGAACAGCAAGGGACCTTATCATTGCTTCTGTTTCATGTTCGCGAAGATGACTTTAGAACTCTGGCCGTTTTCTCAGACCTTCAACCCCATCCAGTCATGTATGGGGAGGGGCTATGGTCACCTTTGAGAGAAACACACAGACAGAGGTTAGCTGATGCAGGGATAGAGAAGTGCATGGCTGCTGTTTGATGGGGAGGATCAGGACAGAGTGGATGCTGGGACACATCATCACCTTTGAAGTGGTTTGCCATCTCCTGCATGGCTATGATGAATCCAGGGGCGGGATTTCTTTCCTCTAATTTCTTCTTCAAGAATCAAATGAAGGTAACATCTTCACCAGTATTGACATGCTACTGCAAAAATTTTGTTACTGCTTGTGGACTTGAAACACAGAAGGAAGCAGGGGGAAAGGAAGTTCGACGTGAAGAAACAACAGCCTCAAATGAACATCTAGAACCAGAGAAGAGAAGGAATCCAGGGCTGACCTGACCGTGGTGTAGGCTGGAAGCAGGTGTTCCAAATGATGGGCCTCTTTCTCTAACAGTGAAGATAGGAAATGACCTCCAGCTCATCTCCGGTGTCTTGATGGGAGTCAAGAGTAGAGGTTGCAGAAATTAAGATCTCCTTTTTCCTTGCCATTTCACATTCTCCTTAAGAATTACTTCCTTTCAGTGAACTCCATTTTCAATCTCCGTGATCCTGCCCATAACTGAGTACTTCAGTACTGTTCCTCTGTAAACATAGATCACAAGAGTTGCTGGCGTAATGAATTGTTTACATTTATTAAAGTGCCTCTCCTCATCAGAACCATAGAAGAAAGCTCCAGGGAGAGATTAGTGGTTGAATTGGCATTATCTTCCAGGAGGCTGATGATGGGAAGAACAGAGCACAGTCAGTAGAGGGAGCACACAGAACTCAGAGGAGGTGGGTTTCTGAGGTCTAGATGCAAGCTGATGCAATGCTAGCTGTCTGTGACTGTTACCCCCATCCGCTGGGTGGATGAACTTTTTGGGATTTGTAGACCAGAGAGGTGTGTCTTCAGGGGCCTTTCTTCTTTGCTTTGTGTTCTAACATCTTATTTCCATATTGTCACTTCCTGGTCCTGTCAGCTGAGCTTGTCAGGGAAGAAACCTAATGTTTATGTTGTCTCCTTGTAGCAATTTCCATAGCTGCCCCAAGCACCGTGATTGTTTGCTCTGTCTGTGTCTTACTAGCCTGCATTTGAGGTTCAGAAGGCACCTTTTCCTTCTCTTATTTATGTGCCCTCGTTCCTTTTCTGAGAAGTTCACCAGCTCCTCAGGGTCAGGGGGAAGATGTGTATTCATCTTGGAATCATTGGTACTCATTGCAGATACAAGCATGTGACAAATACCTGGAAAACACTAGGAGAAGGAGCAGGAGAGGACACACACTATCAGTCAATGCCACTATTTGTTATTTTTTGTTTGGTGGTATAAAATGGAGTGAGGGTATGCTATGAAATATAATCAAGAACTTGAGGCTTAGTGGTCATCTATGCCGTCCCTCTTATTTTATAGATGAAGAAGCTGGGATCTGGGGATGTGATTGTCCCAAGGTTACGGAGTTCCTTATTGCCGAGGCTTCCTGCAATACACCATGGATTGCAGTGAGAGGTGGTGATTGTCTGTGGGTTTCAGATGTCCACATCATTACCTCTCAAACTTTATTGCATACACAAGTCACGGGGTGGGGTGCTATTAAAATGCACATTCTGATTTGATAGGTCTGTGGGAGAGACCTGATATTCTGAGTCTATAGAGTTCTTGTATGATAGTCTCAGGTCCGTACCATTTGTACATCTCAACGCCATCATAGTTAATATTGAATTTCTCTATATCCATTCTGTGGCTGCACAGCATCTTTTTTTATTTAGTAAGAAAACAACTATATGTTTAAGTTTACCTGTTTCTTATATCTTTTTGTTTATAATTCTTCTACCCATTTACACCTTTTTGTCTCGTCTTTCATCATGCATGCTTTCTGACAATGCTTTCTTCTCATTTTATTCTGCTTCTTAATTTTTTATTAACACCCATTTGTCTCTTCTCACT